AATAAAAGAGGGGCTGGAGAGATGGCTCAGAGGTTAAGAGCACTGACTGCTCTTCCAGGGGTCCTGAGTTTAATTCCCAACAACCATTTGGTGACTCACAACCATCTGTAATGAGATCTGGTGACTTCTTCTGCCCTGCAGGCAACATGCAGGCAGAACACTGTATACATGATAAATAAATAAATCTTCAAAGAAAACAAACAAAAAACAAGCTTGAGTTCTGCTGTTCTGCTGTTCTGGTGTGAAGGAAGGTAGGTGGTATAAGCATCAAGGTGCATATGGTTGTGTGCATGGCGACTGTTGTACCTCTGCTTGGACCATTATCTGAAATGACAGGGTTCGGTCTCCACAGAAGCACAGGTCAGCCACTGTCATCTAGTACCCTGTGCTATGCCCCAGGTTGGGCACTAGCCAGGCAGCCTGCTGGAGGGGCCAACTGGAGACTGGGTGGTGGCCACCACAGTGATGGGGAAGTGGCTCTGTCAACTATCTATAGCACTTTCCCTCACCCTTTGACTCTGCCAAACTGAGCAGAGCTCAAGTGGGGAGAGGGAGGCAGGGCCACTTCTCCATAGTCACATGAAGCCAGTGACGTGGAGCAACCAGGGCCATTCAGGGACCACTGTGATAGCTGACTCCATTATGCCTACTGTCAGGAGTAAGCACTGTGCCACTCCCCTATGTGAAGAAAGCAGGGCCCATGGGTGAGCTTGGGGAGGCAAAGGACAGAAGGAGTCAAGGGGCTGCAAGGGCACTGGGAATCGAATCCCTCCACCCTTCATAGAGCCTTGGTAGCCCTGATTGTTGTGGGCAGTGGACACAGTAGTCAAGTGCTTAGCTTCCTGAGGCTGCATCTGCCTGTGGCTTCCCTACTCCTGGGAGGAATGGTTAGTCTCACGCTGCCTCAGTTTCCTTCTGTGGACTGTCAGGATAACCTCGTGATGTGTGACCCAAAGACTCTTGGACACTATGAACACTTCATCTGTGAGATGGGCAACAGCTGTAGGGACTGAAGAAGTTGACTCAGCCAACAGGAGGTGTGATGCACAGTCGGTGCTCACCAGGCAGGCTCCCTGTTCCTCCCAGCAGCTGCTCTTAACAGACTTGGGTCTTCCTCATGATGCCTGAGCTGTCTCAGCAGTGCCACCCCACAGCTAGTCACTGTGTACCCATAATCACGATACTTATTCTCTCCTGGCCTGAGCTTTGCATCTGTACTGTACTGAACCCACTTTAAGGGGTGTTCCTAAAGATTCTGAAGGTGTGAAGATTTCAGGGCCAGTCAAGTAAAAAGGAGCTACCAGGCCCTTGGGAGCGGGCAAGGGGCTAGACCAAGGACCAGGTCCCCATGTAGAGAGGCAGGCAGGCAGGTCTTCAGGAGGGCAGGGAAGGTAAGGGTACAAAGCCTCAGACAAGTAGTTGCATGCTAAGAGCTGGCAGAAAAACAAGGCTGCCTGTAGTACCAGGGAAAGGATACAGCCTAGGGACCCATCCCCACCCCAGCAATACTGTTACTTTGAGGTGAGCCTAGGAGGTGGCAGCCAGCTGGCCATCCCTCTGATCCCTTGGGCCATCCCTAGTTAACTGGTGAAGACACTGGCTTTGTCATGCCTTTTAAGGCAATGGCGGCTCCTGCTACCACCACCCTGTTCTCACTTGCACAGAAATTCCCAGCGTTTTTTTTTTTTCATGACTGGAATGTGACTCCGTTTTGCCACCACAGGATTTCAGTGAGGCCTGTCTTGGGGCTCTGGTGAGAGGAAAGTATGACAGAAGACACAGACATGGGAAAGATGGGGAGAGGTAACAACCCAGCCCCCATTCCTCCAGCCTACAGAAATGCCAGGCCTCCCACCCAGGTACAGATGCAATACTCCACAAAGCTTACTGATCACCTGCCCTGCCCTAGAGAACGGGTACAGGCTACTTTTATGGCTACCCTCCCTTAGGAGCTGGGACCAGAGCCTCTGCACCTTGTTTCCTCTACCTGAGCAGCATACTACAGAGCTTCACCAGTAGGCAGTTCCCAGAAGCCACAAGTGGACTTTCAACCACCTTTAACCTCAGTTGTGTCCACTCCTGGCTCTGCTGGAACCAGGCATGCAGGTGGAACAGTAAGTATGCACTAAATGTATACTGGACCATGTTCCTAATCCTGGCCGCATAAATAGGGAATAATGCTCTACAACAGTGGTGAAGAAGTCAATGTCCTTTATTTAGTACCTTCTACAGGCCTAATAGTTTGCTAATAGCAGAGCCCAATCACATCAACTTGATACCACACCACAGCAGAGCTGTACCTACCCCCCAGGTGATCCAGCCCTTAAGGACAGGATCAGTTATCAAACTGCTGTGAAGTGGCCACTGAACACAATGTTTCAGCTGTCCTAGTTGCAGAAAGCTGAGCTGGGGGCACTGTTCACCTGAAAACCTTTCTGAGCCAAGCTCCAACTAATAGCTACCATGTGGATCACAAACCTAATTAACCAAGTGGAGTGTTATCAGTGCAGCCCTACTTCTTGCCATATTTCTGGAGTCACCCAAGGTCTGCAAACAAAGCTCAGCCCTAGCCACCACACTTAGGTACTGGATGTCATGCATTTAGCAGATCAAGTGTTGCTGAAGCATTGTTGAATTTCTTCAATGGCTGGACACGGCCATAAAAGAAGTGAGGAGCCAATGTCACCAGAAAAATATTTATTGAGACCCCACCAGCTGCACAAGGTGATTCTGGTCTTAAGCACCTTCTTCTTTGGCAATGCGGTCTTTCTTGAGTGGTCCCTGTAGAAAAGAAACACAAGAGATGAATGTTATGTCTTCACTAACCCTGCACACTCAAGAAGGCCAGACAAAAAGGCAGGGCCATGTAGGTCCTTACCATGAATGCTTTCTTCTCCTCCATGGTCTGGAAACGACCATGACCAAACTTGGAGGTGGTGTCAATGAATTTCAGGTCAATCTTCTCTAGAGCCCGTCGTTTGGTCTGTACCAGCAAGGACTGTGAGCCAAAAGAAAAATGGTCAGTGACTGACACCCAGAGCCAGCTCAACACCACTACAATGACATGAATGTGCAGGACTCCTGTGGGGGATTGCAACCCCTACACACAGGCCAGTATTTCTGCAGCTAAGGACCTTGCCCAGAATGAGCTGTAAAACCAGGGTTAGTTTTACCTTGCGGAGAGTGAGCACTCGCTTCTTGGTTCCCACCACACAGCCTTTGAGCATGACAAAGTCATTGGTCACCTCACCATAATGGACAAAGCCACCCTAGGAAGGGAATCAGAAAGTTACTGGTCAGTGCAAATTACTGAGGCGTTAGTTGCATCACATAGCCAACTATGATAAGCTGTTCTCAGAAGGAAGGCAACAGAGGGAATGGTTCCTCAGGTTTACTCGGGCGCTGTGCCCAGCGCTTATTCCAGAGATTCATCACAGAACAGCTTGGCTGGAACCCCACCCTTTTCACCAACCAAACAGCACAGAAGCAGCTAGAAATGGGGGGAGGCAAGTGCCATCCCAGAGAAGTGCCAGCACTCACCAGTGGGTTGATGCTCTTGTCAGACAGGTCATAGTCAGTGGATGCATTGTTCTTAATCAGCTTACCATCCTTGATGAGGTAGCCTTGACCAATCTTGTAAATCTGAAAACAGGAGCAAACTGAGATAAAAGTCCTAAGAAACAGCATTCAAGGGCAGGTGGATGGAGCAGGTTAATACACTAAGGTAGGTGCCAACAACTAGCCTGGCACGCAGTCTGCAAGTTTACAGTTGAGTTTTCCAGGTAGATGGGCCAGATAAAAATTACTGGTATTGCTGGACACAAGCCCATAGTATCAGCACTTAAGATATTCTTGTCACAAGAAAGGGACCTAACTATATATGCTAGGTATGGTGGCAGCTCTGACTTTAATTGAAATTCTGAGGCAGACAGCATTGTCATAAACTCCAAGGTAGCCTATGTATGTCATGCAGCAATCATCTAATATGCAAACACAAAGTTACTGGTCAGTGCAAATTACTGATGCTTATCCACTGACTGTCCTAGAGGACAGGACTTTGACCTCCCCCACCTATAGGCTCTTAAATCAGCCTTGTCAAGCCTCACCTTTTTGTTAATCTCCGTTCGGTGATGGTAGCCTTTCTGCCCAGCTCGAGCCACAGAGAAAGCCACACGGGCAGGGTGCCAGGCTCCAATACAGGCAACTTTGCGCAGCCCTCGATGGGTCTTGCGGGGCAGTTTCTTTGTATGCCAACGACTAGTCACCCCTGGAGAGAATATGTCACTGTTATAAAAGGCCTGCCCCTTCTGTGTGAGGTTACTTGTGTCATATACTATTGAATTACCACACAATCCTCTGTCCAAGTATTGGTATTTGAACATCTATGTCTGCATGTGAAGGCCAGAGGTTGCCATGTCTTTGACTTGAAGTAAACCAAAGTACCCCATCCCCTAGAACCTCAGGTCATGTTGACAAGGGTTGCTGTTCTCAGAAGGAAGGCAACAGCACATTCCAGGGACTCACAAGTTACCACAACACCAACAGAACCATTTAACTATAAAACTTACCTTTGTAGCCTTTGCCTTTTGTCACCCCGATGACATCAATCATCTCATCCTGTCCAAACACCTGGTTCACAGGAACCTGCTGCTCCAACCTCTCTCGGGCCCAGTCTAGCTTCTCAGCCACGGTGCCCCCGTTCACCTGGATCTCCATCAAATGTGCCTTCTTCTGGCGCAAAGGAAGCAGCCGCATCTAGAAGTGGTGGAAGGTCAGATGAGGCTGCTAATCTTATAATCACTTTGGTTGGCTGCTGTCAAAATGAGTTAAGTAGCCCATACCAAAAGACAGGAATGGTTCTCATGGACCATCTAACCAGCCCTGCATTTTAAATACAGACCAAACTCATACTACCATTTCAATGTGAGTTCCAGGTAAACCAGGGAGCCCAGTAAGACTATTTAACTAAAACTCCAAGAGAAACAAGATCACAGTGAATGCCTGAAATAACCATTACAGCAATGCCAGCACCTTACCACTAGGTCGAAGCATACCGACTGCTTTGTATCAACAGTGAGGTGATCAAATGAAGCCTGGGCAAAGTGCCACAGCACCCTCTTCTGGTCAGAGATTAGCACAACACTATGTCAAGACTAAGCAAGCTGGCCTGTTTTATGACCTAACATGCCCTGATGCCCCCAAATCTAAAGACCCTTGAGGGATGACATAAGAACTGAAGAGGCAATGAAAAGCCTCATTCCTAGGTCAGGGTGTGTCCTCACCTGAGTGTGAGCAATTATGCGGATGACTTGGCAGTACTTCTTCATGCTGTTGAAGTCCTTCTCCAGCTGTTTCTTGCCCATGTCATCCTGCCATTTCTTACAGTATTTGGTGAAGGCCTTCTTCTTAGATTTGTGCCTTCAGGAGCAGAGCAGAGTTGGGGGAGGGGCCCGGTGCAGGCCTTCATCACCCTTGCACAGGGTGAGAGGAAGGAACACTGGCACCATGTGGGCATGGGGCTCATTGCCGGCTTCTAAGGAGCCTTTTCCACCAGCAAGCGGAGCCTGGATGGAGCTCATCGGGCAGAGCCGAGCGGAGCTGAGTAGAGGTCCACAGGTTAATATAAGCCACATAGAAAACACACAATTCTTGCTCCAGGGCACAGAATCTCCTTTCTCTAACTTGGGGACCTTCTCACAGTAAAGGTTAAAAGGACCTACCTACTACAGTCAAGCCTCCAAACCACACAAGGAAAAAAGGCAAACGTCTATTTCCTAGCTGTATTTGCCATCTTTCAGTTCAGATTTCAGAAAAAAATCCACCAAGGAACCCAGCACAAGCTAGGCTTGTAGTGGCCCACGCCTTTAATCCCAGCACTCTGGAGACAGAGGTAGGCAGATCTGAGTGAGACAAGCCTGGTCTACAAGAGCTAGTCCCAGGACAGCCACGAAAGCCACCCTTTCTCAACACCCCCAAAGAAACCCTGCATTAAAGGGGGGTTATAAAAAGCCCATAAACATTGTATCGTGTTCACTAAATTCTAGCTCAGGCCAGGATTTTCCTGGGTTCTCACTCTCCTTACCAGTTCTTGTAGAAACGCCTCTTACACTCGTCACTGATGTGCTCAGCAAATACTGTCTTGAAGGTGCGGAGACCTCGTGGGGTTTCAACATATCCCACAATGCCCACAACTACCATGGGTGGTGTTTCCACAATGGTTACAGCCTCCACAACTTCTTTCTTGTTCACCTCTGTGAAGGCAAACAGGCATCAGTGGGTAGATGACTACCAATATTGAAATGCCGACAACAAAAGGCCTTCTGCCTCTTCAGATTCATCAGTGGGTAGATGACTACCAATATTGAAATGCCGACAACAAAAGGCCATCTGCCTCTTCAGATTTGGCCCCCTCTACTCTTCCCATCTCCAGGGCCACAACAGGTGGCTTTAGCTGATGAGCCCTAAGGTTCTACGTGTGCCACAATACCTAGCCCACACAAGGCATGCTTGCTGTTCGTGAAGAAACAGACACGAAGCCAAGTAATAACTATCACCTAAAATCCCAGCATTCAGCAAGTATTGACAAAATGCCACACTTCACCTCATACTGTAAGAAAAGCTATCACTCCCATGGTTTCTAATCTCTCCATGAGTCACTCCCAGACATGAAACTGCTAACTTGGGGAACAATCCTTAAAGCTCAGGAGGGAGGCACTGGCTGCCCTGAGGACTAGGTTTTTATCCTCACCGCATGTGGATTCCAAAGACCAACTACATCCCCGTATGATTTTGCGCAGGCAGGCCTACCTTATCTGTCTACTGAAATACACGACTGAGAACTGTTCTTAGTCTCTTAGTAGGCACTGTTACCTCAGGTCAGGTTGTTTCAAATTTAATTAACCAAAATGGAATTGTCCCACAATGACTTTCCAAATTTACTCCAGGTACCGATCATTCCTGAAGTTATACCCAGTCCCCAGTTCGACAAGGTAAGTTACATACTGGATCCTGGCCTGTCAACTTCCCGGACGATGTGGGTCATGCCAGCCTTGTAGCCTAGAAAGGCTGTGAGATGAACAGGCTTGGAAGGATCGTCCTTGGGGAAGCTCTTCACCTTCCCACGATGCCGGCTGCTGCGCTTCCGAGGCAAGAAGCCCAATGACCCATGCCTCGGGGCAGAGAATTTCCGGTGAGACTAGGAAAGAAAATCACCAACATTACTAAGTATATCTCAACCTCAGCAACCCTTCCTATTACTTAACCAGCCCACGAGAGCATGTCACTTTACATTGTCTCGTGAAATGGCAATCCTGTATAGGGTCTTTGCAAACATTTGCCATGTCTTTCACCATCGACAGTAAACAGCTAAGCTCTGCTAAACACCCTTATGATTCACTGCTAAAATGGGCCACAGAGCTTCGAGAGCCAGCCTTTTACAGCTAAGCCTCTAGAATTCCCAATGCCAAATCAGAACATGACAATCAGCACAGAGTTTCTGTCCGCCCGTCAGAAGGTTCATCATTTGTGGCTTCTGGGAACTCGGGAGGCGCACTTTCCTTTCGCGGAACCACATTCCAAAATGGAAGCTCGTGAGGCTTCCCACAATGACTCCCGTTTCAGCCAGTGCAATCAATGCCTACGGCCGCCTTCCATCATGCTTGCCACATGGTCAATCAAGGTAAAATTCGTGTCCAAACCCCAAAAATAACCAGTTTTATAACACGAGCGGCCGTCAGGCTTGTGCCGAACCCTAGGCCTCTCGTACAGGCCCAGGCCTGTGCCCCGCACACGCTTTCTACAGAGATCTAAGCGCCGTGGCGGCCCGAGCGAAGTTCTCTGTGCTGCTAGAGCAGCTTCCCAGTGTCGATGGGCCGCAGACGTATCCAGGCTAACCCAAAAAGCAAGACCCCAGCCCGGACTGCTACACGTACCATCTTGCCGTCACACGCCGCCGATAGAGGCCGGCCAGGCGGCCGAGCAGCCTATATAAAGCCACCTAGTGACTCCGCCCACTGAGCGTCTGAGCGTGCTGCCGCAGAGGACGTCGGGTCGAAGGACGCGCAGCGAACGTCCCTGTCCCGCCCACTCCAGATTGGCAAATAACGTCCTACGGCAAGTGGTTGGGTTCAAAGGTGGCACAAAGCCTCAGAGATGCTGCAGTTTCAAATGTAATGCGTCTACGGCATTCTGCAGCAGCCAAACTTGATGATAATGAAGAAAAATGGCCGCATTGTTTCTGTCCGTAAGCTACGCTGTCACCTCTAGAATTGTGTCACGGCGTGCTAACCCTCTCAGTACTATCCAGTATCGAAACGAACGTCCTTGAAGCAGGCTTTGTTAGATGGAACTGATGTGCTGCTCTAGCGAGCTTTTACGTTGTAAAGACTGTATGAAACTCGTTTGCTCTCTGCCTAGCCAGTGATTTTAATGCAACAACGACTTGCCTTTAATTCGCTATGATTTCGGGCACACCTACGTCAAGTCCGCTCTCTGCCATTCCAGTACCTAGATGTCATGTCCCGTTCACATTGCCTTCTTTTTTTTTTTTTTCTTTTCTTTTTTTAAGGTGCATTAGTGTTTTGCCTGCATGTCTGACTGTCGGATCCCTGGAACTGGAGTTAGAGACAGTTGTGCGCCGCATGTGGGTACTGGAATTGAACCTCGGGTCCTCTGGAAGAGCAGCCAGTGTCCTTAAAAGCTGAGCCGTCTCTCCAGCCCCCATATTTTGTTCTTAATTTTTAGATTTACTCATGTTATGTGTATGTATCAGTATTTTGCCAGGATGTATGTATGTGCACTATGTGTGTGCCCGGCATCTGCTGAGATCACAAAAGGGTGTCAGATCCCCTGAAACTGAGTTACAGACAATTGTGAGTGTTGTAAACCAAACCCCGTCCCCCCTGGGATAGCAACAAGTTTTCTTAATTACTGAACCATCTCTCCAGATAAAAAATATATATATTATATATATATAAAATATGTATTTTTTAGGAACACAAACATAGTTTTATTAAAGGAAAGTAAAAGAATTTCTAAAAGTGGGAGGGACACCAAGTACAGAATATCCTTAAATTTTTAGCACATGCCTTTAATCCCAGCACTCAGGAGGCAGAGGCAGGCAGATCTCTGTGAATTCGAGGTCATAGGTAGCTGCAAGCCAGCCAAGGCTATATGGTGAGATTCTGTCTCAAAAAAAAATAATAAAATAAATTAGCACTTAGCCTGGTATCCAGAGCGAGTGCCAGGATAGGCTCCAAAGCTACAGAGAAACCCCGTCTCGAAAAATCAAAAACAAAACAAACAAACAAACAAAAAATTAAGACTTCCAGCACTTGGGAGGCAGAGGCAAGTGGATCTCTCTGAGTTTGAGGCCAGTCTAGTCTACAGATCCAGTTCTAGGACTGCAGCTGTTTTGTTTAAAAAGAAGAAAAGAGAAATGCTGAGACATGAGACATATTGACTATAAGTTTATTTTAAGGCCGGCAGAGTAGGGAGACTAAGAGAAGAGGAACAGGGTAATAATGGCTGACCGCCATGGCTGGTCGCCATAGCGCATAGGTGAGAGAGAGAGAGCAGAAAGGAAGCTGAGAGGAAACCAAGAGCATAAATGGACAGGGACCTGTCTTTTAAAGGGGTCCTCTGCACCTGCGTGCAGACTTAGTTCCCATGGAACCTTGGGCTGACCAGGGTACTGCCTGTTCCACCAGGTAACAGGGGCAGGCCAGCATAATGCCTGAACCTTTCAAGGACAACCTTGAAAACAATACAGAGAAACCCTGTCTCAACGGGTGTTGGGTGTTGGCGCATGTCTTTAATCCCAGCACTCTGGAGGCAGGCGGATCTCTGTGAGTTCGAGACCAGCCTGGTCTACAAGAGCTAGTTCCAGGACAGCCTCCAAAGCCCACAGAGAAACCCTGTCTTGAAAAACAAAACAAAACAAAAACAAAAAAACCCTGTCTCAACCCCCCCCCCCAAAAAAAATTAGGACTTTGGGGCTAGAAATTGTACCTCAGTTGGTAGAGTCTTTGCCTAGGATGCATAAAGCCAGTACAGTGTAAAGACAGGCATGGTGGTTCACTGCTGTAATCTAGCACTTGGCAGAGGAAAGCAGGGGAATCGGGTCTTCTAGATAATTCTTGGCTACATATTGAGTCTGAAGCTAGCCTGAAATATAAGAGACACTGTTTCAAAAACTAAAACAGGGGCTGAGAGATGGCTTGTCAGTTAAGGCTATTCACTTTCACAGCTTGTCCAGATGATCTGAGTTCAGTAACTCCAGTTCCCATGAATCAGACATCTTCCGGCTTTCTCAGACCCCTGTGTAAGCATGCACCCATGGAGACACAAAAATAAATAAAACAGGGCTGGGTGTGGTGACAGTTCAAGGCCAGCCTGATGTACCCAATGATACTCTGTGTCAAAACAAACAAGACAGGGGTTCCCTATGTATTCCTAGCTGTACTGGAACTTGCCAGTAGACCAGGCTGGCCTCGAACTCAGAAATCCACCTGCCTCTGCCTCCTGAATTCTGGGATTAAAGGCCTTAAAGGCATGCAACACCACCACCTGGACAAAAATCTCTCTCTCTCTTGTTTTTTTGTTTGTTTGGTTTGGTTTTTCAAGACAGGGTTTCTCTGTGTAGTTTTGGAGCCTGTACTAGAACTTTCTCTGTAGACCAGGCTGGCCTTGAACTCACAGAAATTCACCTGCCTCTGCCTCCGGAGTGCTGGAATTAAAGGCATGGAACACAACTGCCAAGCTCAAATTAAGTTTTTTTTTTTTTTTTTTATGTACTAGGGATTGAATTTAGGACCTTATGCATGCTAGTGAAACACTTTACCACTGAGCTACATCCACCAGGATGATTACAAATTCCACCACAACATACTGTAGATTTGTGTGTGTGTGTGTGGGGGGGGTGCATGCGCACATATGTGTACATGTATGTGGAAGCCAATACTGTGGATTTTATTAATTTATTTAAGACAGGGGCTCACTTGTAGACCAGGCTGACCAGGAACTCACAGTCAAGTGAGTCCTGAGCACCCCTCCTCCCCCAGTGCTGGGATTCATCACTATGCCTGACTTTTATTTTTCTTATGTATCAATCAGATGTTGAACCACATGCTCTATAAATACAGACTCTATCAGGTTGGTACACTTCACATCCTCCCTAAGTTTATAAACCGAGCCACAGAGAGGCAGTATTAAGAGCCCTGTCAAGCCCAAGCAATTTGGCAAAGCCTAGGCTGTCAGCCAAGCAAATGCTCTTGGCTTTCTTTTTTATTTTATTTATTTATTTATTTTGGTTTTTCAAGACAGGGTTTCTCTGTGGCTTTGGAGGCTGTCCTGGAATTAGCTCTTGTAGACCAGGATGGTCTAGAACTCACAGAGATCCGACTGCCTCTGCCTCCTGAGGGCTGGGGTTAAAGGTGTGCGCCACCAACACCCGGATTATTTTTAAATCGTTTTCATTCATTAATTTATTTAATATTTATTCTGTGTGTGTGTCTGTGTGTGGGTATGTACACTGGAATGCAGGTGCCCAAGGAAGATATAGGCAACAGATCCCTCTGGAGCTGGAGTTACAGGTTATGAGCCAACCAGTGTGACTGCTGGGATCTGAACTTTGACCCATTGCAAGAGCAGCATTTGCTCTGGGCCCCTTCTCTTCAGTCTATCTCCCCCGACCCCCCAGATAGTCTCAAGTAACCCAGGCTGACAATGGAACATAAGTGCTGAAGCCAGCTTTGAACGGATTCTCCAGTCCCCAAATTCTAGGATTATAGCCAACCTGGTTCAGAAATAAGGAGTGTTACACAACACATTTAGAAACTATAATCTTCTGTCACAGTGCTTAATAACAAAGACAATGTTAATCTAATGGTGAATGGAGTTGCTATTCAGAAGTCCTCATAGAAGTCCTTTTGGTATAAGGTTACTAAGAGCCTCAGTGCAGGCTGGAGGCTGAGGCTCTAGGACACTTGTTAGCATACAAAAAGAACATCAGGTCAGAGATTCCAAGAGCTTTAGGGGCTGTGTGCCGGGAAGCAGAACTAGGACATATACATAGAATCACATAATCCATTTCAGCAGGACCAACTACATATGATAAATACAGCCATCCCCAGCTGACTGGCAGGGCCCATCACATTGATTGCCTGTGAGACTGCAGCAGGTGGGTGTGAAGGCATTTCCCAGAGGGCTCTTTATGTTCTGCTGTATTCTTCACAAAGTGGTCCATGCCTTTTTTTTTTTGTTTT